TTTAGAGGAAGAAAAAATTTGTGAACCAATACTAGTTGGACTGATGCTACTATAGTTTCCTCTAACGTTCCAGTACTCCCTATCTCAGAGTTGGCTTATCATTATCATCAAATGTCTTCCTGCATGTTCTTATAGTCAAACACAAATAAATAAAAAACAAAAACCCTTGAAATGATTTCATTTTTTCATTGTGAGAAATTTGTCGATGATCAGTTATGTGTGAGATAATATTGTAGGTGCTGGAACAGATATGAAGAATAAGGCATGGTCTCTACCCTTGAGGAACAGGAAGGGGGATAGATTTGTGATGAATAAATTTTGAGAAAGTGACACAGTATAATAGAGGCGTCAAAAAGAAGCAACTTCATGTGGGAAAATCACAAATCACTTTAGAATAGTAGTTCTCAATGTGTAGTTCCCAGATCAGCAGTGTGGGCATCACGGGGGAAAGCTGGTAGAAATGCAAATGTTGAGACCCACCCCAGACTTACTGAAACTTTAAGAGTGGGGTACAACAACCTGAGTTTTTACAGACCTTTCAGATGAAAACCAGTCCTAATACCCTAAGGTGATGTTTCTCAAACTTTAGAGAGATACAGAGTCATGTGAAGTACTTGCCAAAACACAGATTACAGATTGCTGCCCTCACCATCAAATTGTGGATTCAGTAGGCTGGGACACAAAATTTGCATTTCCAACAAGTTTCGGGGGATACTGATGCTGCTGACCTGGGAACCACACTTTGAGAATCACTGTCCCAAGACATCTACATGTAATTCAATAATTTTTCTCATTTGCTATGTGCTATCCTTAAAAAAAAACTTTTTTTAGTTGAGAAAATAATGACTCAAATCATCTTCTCTGTTTTGTGGTTCGTAGAAAAAGTTCCAGGTGAGAAAGGTTGAGTAGAAAAAGAGACGGGAAAATATTTTAGGAAGGGGAAATATTTGTGTAAGAGTTAAGTGAATGATCAAGCTAATTAACGCAGTAGTCATAAGTGAGAAAATGCAGAGCAAATGTTAATGTGTGAGGAGGTGGGAATCTGGACAGAGCTACTTACATATGCTATAGATTGAATTATTTTCTCACCCCATTAAATTAGGTTTATCATGTGAGATCCTGCTCCTCGAAATTTAAAGTCAAAGATACACGAAGTATAAAATACTTATTGTGTACAGTTTTCCCGTTTCGTACAAAAGAGAGATTCGCAGCTTCTTTTTATTTCTTAGGCATAAGACATCATTGGCTTGACTTGAACCTATGTTTTTTTCTTTAATCCACACGCCATTTTTTGACATTGAGAAATACATGAGATCTACATGTTAGTATTACAATGTGACTGATGGTCCAAATTCAAAGTTCAAAGTTTTAAAAGACCAGTGAGTTTAGCTATTTAGAAACTTCATAAAATGGTAGCTCTGAAATCCACCACCTACCCTTCCATCCATTCAGCCAACAATGAAAAAGGAAACTTGACTTGTGGAAGTGTGCAATTCAGTGAGTGAAGACAGAAATTAAATAGTGAATTCACTGCAATTTTGATAAAATATTTTTAAAAAATAAATCTTTAAGGAACTGTAACAAGAGCACCTAACTTTGTCTGAAGCCTGGGGTGGCGGTAAGTGAAGAATTCTTTGAAGAAAAGCTGTTTAAGCCGATATCTGATAGATGGAGAGGCAGGGGGAGAGCCAGGGAGGAGTTATGGAAAATATAATAGTGTGTGCCCTGGACGAGGGTAGGAAGAATCAAAAATGGGAAGGTGAGTGACATCGGGCATGATGCTAGAGGGATTGGCAAGTAAAATACTGAAGGACTGTAAGTAGGATCCTGACATGGTCAGATCTGAGGGTTTAGAACTCACTGTAGCTTCCATGTGCAAAATGCAATGGAGGAGGGAGAGGTTGAAAATTTTCACCTTCCTAGTTCCTGAAGAAAAATAACTGTATAAGTTTTATTCTGTCATGACCTCATATGCCACAATTATAATTTTGCCTTGTATGAAATATATTACTTGGCTCTTAAGAAGAATATACAAGCCAGGTGTGGTGGCTCATGCCTGTAATCCCAGTGCCTTGGGAGGCAGAGGTGAGAGGATTGTCTGAGTCCAGGGGTTTGAGAGCAGCCTGGACAATTGGTGAGACCTCGTCTCTACAATAAATAAATTTTTTAAAAATTAGCTGGGCATGGTGGCACATGCCTATAGTTCCAGCTACTTGGAAGGCTGAGGCGGAAGTATCACCTGAGCCCAGCAGGTCGAGGCTGTGGTGGCCATGGGCATATCACTGCACTCCAGTCTGGGCGACAGAGTGAGACTCCGACACACACACACACAAAGAAGAATATGCTTCATTTTAAGTAAACTTAGTGTACAGATAAGATAAATGTGAAATAAGTGAATAGTCTAAGCTTGGTGTTATGGGCTGAGTTGTGTTCCTTCCAAAATTCATGTGTTGAAGTCCTAACCTCTAGTACCTGGGAATGTGAATGCATTTAGAGACACTGTCTTTTAAAAAGCAATCAGCCAGATATGGTGGCTCACACCAGTAATACCAGCACTTTGGGAGGAGAGGCAAGAGGATTGCCTGAGCTCAGAGGTTCGAGACCAGCCTGAGCAATATGGTGAGAACTTGTCTCCACCAAAAAAAAAACAAAACAAAAAATAGCTGGGCAGGTGGAATGACACATGCCTATGGTTCCAGTTACTTGGAAGGTTGAGGCTTAAGGATCACCTGAGCCCAGCAGGTTGAGGCTGCAGCGACCATGAGTATACCATTGCACTCCAGCCTGGGTAACAGTGAGACTCCAATTCAAAACAAATAAAATAAAATAAAAATAAAAACAAGAAAGTAATCAAGGTTCACTGAAGCCATTAGGGTGCGCCCTCATCCAATATGACTGGTGTCCCCGTAAGAACATTAAGACGCAGGCTGGAAGTAGCTGGAACCACAGGCATGTGCCACCCCTCCCGCCCAGCTAATTTTTAAAAAACTTACTGTACAGAGGGAAAATGATGAGACAACAAAAAGGGAGAAGACAGTCATCTACAAACCAAGTAGAAAGGCCTCATGAGAATCCAACCTTAAAGACACTTGGATCTCTGCCTTCTAGCCCTGAGAATTGTGAGAATATAAATTTTTGTTGTTTAAGCTGCCAGTCTATGGTATTTTGTCATGGCAACCCTAGCAAATGAATATACTTTGTACCAAAACATCCTTCATTAAAAAACGAATCACCACAGCTCTTTTTAGAAAATGCGTTCTCCTGATGAGTTTGGTATGTGCTTATTTCTCAGCAGGATTACAAATGAAGGAGAAACAAACTTATTAGAGAGTTTTTCTGGAGGGTAGGGAGTGGGGAAAGCCCCGAAGGTATGCACACGCTGTGTAAAGTGAAACATGGCAGTTGTCTCAGTTAATTCCCACATTGCTCAGACCTCCGATAGCAGGTTGTACACTATCCAAGGAAGACCGCTTGGCCAAATTTAGAGACCCAGGTGGTGTCATTAGCTCTGCCTTGACCATGAAAATCAACAGCTGTCAATGTTCTGAAAGCCTGAATCCCTCATTCACACATTCAAGTCAGGGAGATTTTCTTCATTCTGCTTATTTTCTATCCAAATCAAGCATGTACCTTGCACAAGCCTACTGGTCTACTAGGTGTCCAACATTATGAGGAATAAACTAATTTTTTTTTTTTTGAGTTGGAGTCTTACTCCATCGCCCAGGCTGGAGTTCAGTGGCATGCTCACGGCCACCCTAGCATCGACCTGGGCTCCGCGATCCTTCCGCCTCAGTCTTCCAAGTAGCTGGAACTACAGGCATGCTACCATGCCTAGTTAATTTTTAAAAATGTATTATAGAGATGAGGTCTTGCCAAGTTTCCCGGCCTGGTCTCGAACCTGCGGGCTCAGGCAATCCACTCGCCTTGGCTTCCCAAAGTGCTGGAATTACAGGCTGAGCCACGGAGCCCAGCCAAAAATAATTTTAAGATGTGGTCCACAACTTCAAGGAAATCAAATCAGAGATCAGTGAACATTTCCATGATAATTTGTTATCTTCCAAAGAGAGTTAACAAAAATTAGTTTGGAATGACTTTCCAAATGATGGCAAGGTTCTTCCTAGATGGACACACCTGTGTACAATGAACTGACTTCCAGATGACACCTAACATCCATCCACTCATCCACACATCACATGTTAAATCAGTTGGAGACGCACATCAGCGCACCAAGCCATGATGGCATGGTGTTTATTTTTCTTCACTGTCATTGTGTGAGTTCTTTTTCTCCGTGGATTCTTTAGCTTTGTTTTTCATGAAAGCACAGCAGGAACAACTATGTTAACTCTATTTCTGACCGAGATCCTCTTTTGTAAACATTCCCTCAAAGTTAAAATGAAAACTATTCTTTTTTTTTCCAACAATAAAAGAAATACACTTTTTTCCCCTGTTCTGCCTAAAATATCAAAACACACAGCCAGGGCCTCTGAAACACAAACGCTTTCTTGACCTCCCTTATATTTCTGGGTTCCTTGGTACTTCCCAACAATTTCTTTTTCTTTAAACTTTTCCTCTCTTACTGAGAAATTCTACTGCTTCTCTTCTTTGGAAATCAATGCAGAAACATTCGGATGCTTTGTCCACCAGACAGGCTCTTTTGCTTTGGGGTACTGGGCATTTATTATCCCTGGCAGGAATTGGCAGCATCTGATTTTGTTGATCTACAGTCACAGAGAAGGTTGGGAACTGGGTATCCATATCATTATGACTCAAGACACATAAACACATTCTAGATATATGCTTTAGAAAGCACAATGTATTTATAATTACATTGGAATTCTTTGGCTCCAAGCAAAGTTACAGAGACGACAGGTTTGAGAAACAACTTTTCTTTTTTCTTTTTCTTGGCGTATTCTATCACTTTGAGTCCTAGTTCTAAATAGGAATGGAATCAAAAAGGGACAGTGAGAAAAGGTAGATTATATATGGAACAAGAGTTTTACCTGGCAAAGCCAACACCTCTGCTGACTCCATTTGCGTCTCTGAGTATTCTTGTCGAAATGACATGTCCAAAGGGTTTCAGCATATTCTCAAGTTCCTGCTCATCCATAGAAATGGGGAGATTTGAGATGTATAGGTTTGTTGGATCTTGTTCTTGTTGCTAAGGGAGAAAAAGAAACAAATGCAGTAAGTTCTGAATGTTAAGGAGCATTGCACAAATGGAGAAACTTTGGCTTAAACTGCAATCTAGATTCTAATCTTCAATGTGCTCTTGAAAGTGCTTTCACTAGGAGCATGGTTTCTTTTTACTGAATTCCCTTCCTGGGCAGAATGTTTATCATAGACACCGTGTCATTAGTGAAAGTCAAGCTTTCTGCCTACGGCACCTTAGAGAAGACTAATACACTTTTATTGCAACAGAACTAAGGCAAATGTGTGTGCTCTTTTCTATTATCATTAATTGCTACTTCTATGATCAACACTCTCACCTATCCTTACCACTGATTACTAATGTTGCATTTAGTGAAAACTTATAACATGCTAGGATTGTCCTAAGTACTTAATATGCATTATTTCCTTCAATATTCCAGATAAATATAATTCCCATCTTACAGATGACAAAACCGATCCCTTGGCTGAGCATGGTGGCTCATGCCTATAATCTCAGTACTTTGGGAGGTGGAGATAAGAGGATTGCCTGAGTCCAGGGGTTCGAGACCAGCCTGGGCAATTTGGCCAGTCATTGTCTCTACAATAAGTCAAAAAGTTAGTCAGGTGTGGTGGCACGTGCCTGTGGTTCCAGCAACTTGGAAGAGGGTGAGGCGAAAGGATCATCTGAGCCCAGCAGGTTGAGGCTGCAGTGGCCATGAGAGTGCAACTGCACTCCAGCCTGGGCAACAGAGTGAGACTCTAACTCAAAAAAAGAAAAAAGAAAAAAAAAAAGAAACCCAAAAAACAAAAACAAACAAAAAAACGGATCCCTAACTTGTCCAAGTTGTAACAACTTATAAGTGTCAAAGTCAGGGCTGAAATCATCAAAGACCATGGGTCTGTCGGCTCTGCTATATTGTTTTCTACTAGACCAGAGGGTCTCCAAGTGTGACCCAGAACTACAGTCTCAGCCTCAGCCTTACCTGGGAACTTGTTAGAAATATAATTTCTCAGGCCCCACTCCAGAACCACAACATCAGGAACTCTGAGGGTAGGCCAAGCAATCTGTGTTTTGATAAACCCTCCAGGTAATTCTGATGACTGCTCAACTTTGAGAATCACTGTCCTAGACCAAGCATGAATATTTATATACAAATAAGATTATGATGTCTATCATTTTCTACTTCAGCAGCAATAATGCTTAAATAAGCTTTGCTTAATAGAATGGGAAACCAAATCACAATTGCTAGCATTATTCTATGTGCTATGACTATTCTCTGTTTCCTACAATGAATTAGTAAGTTGGAACTTAGCTGTATGTTATGTTTCAAAATAAATCACAGCCATAAACCTGAGATGATTAATCATGAATATCAAAATATATTAGATATTTATTTGAACTCTTATATTTTAACCAAAACAGCGATCTTAACTTCAAGGATAAGCAACAGATTCAACTACAAAAGAAATTCTGAAATCTATAGAAAATGTCATTATGTAACATGAAAATATCTTTTGTGAAGATATTATATTATTAGAAACTTATGGTTTTAAACAGAAAAGTACAATAAACAAAATTCTAAATATTATTTCAGGTCAAGAAACAATTTTATATGATACTAAATTCTACTGTTTGTAACAAATATAAATACTCAAATAAGTCATAATATTTTTATTAAGGCTTGGAATGAGTAAGATCTAGTATTAGTTTTATTTTAAGGTAGTTTACTTTTCCAGCCTTTTAGCACCATGGAAAATAGCAAAAATCAAATATGAGCGAGAGACCCCCCCAAAAACTAGGGGTTATCTTTTGGAGGGAAGGTCCCTTGTAGTACAGGCTTCTCTAACTTTATAAGTATTCTAGGAATGCATTGGCAACAGTGTTTGAGATAGCACTGTTGTGAAAGACTGGGTTCAGCTTCGGCGAATTTTTTTTTGAGAGTCTTTTAGTGCATTTGCCCATTTCATGATGGGTGATTTATAAGCACATCTGCCCACACTGCACTGAGTGTTCAGGAGTTTTTGACCCAAAAGGACATGACCCCCATGCCCCACCCTTCCTATTTACCCAATCTTGCCCTGAGCAATTTTTTTTTTGTTTCTCCAAATGAAAAAAGTCCCCAGAAGGAAACATATTGCAGATGCGAAAGACATGAAACAAAAAACGGCAGAAGCACGAAAAGGCATCAAGATCGACAAGTTCAAAAACTGTTTTGAGCAGTATAAAAAGCATCTCAAGAGGTGTACTGAAGCAAATGGAGAGTACATCGAAGGTGACTGAAGCTTAAATATGTAAGAATAGATACATAATTTTTTAATAAATAAGTTCTAGGTTTGGGGGGTTCCCCTGGAAACCCCCAAAAGGCAACTAGAACTTTAATCTTTAGGAACAGTGTACATGTAGGGGCTGAATAAGTATAGTCAGTCTATCTCTCTTTCTTTGTCTCTCTCTTTCTCTCTCTCTCACACACACATACACACACACCATTACCACCACCACCACCATCACTACCATCAACAATAAATGGATGATCTTGGAGAGAAAACAGAGATAATATTATTCCCTAAATGGTTGTAATCTTGTTTTTATTCTTGTTTTTTTGCTAGAGTGGTGGGAAAAAACAAATAAAGGTTTTAGTTACATAATAATGAAACGTATCTACATATAACCTTCAACTTTTATAGTATTTCTCTATTCATCACTTGATTTTAATCTTCACATTATCATTTCAACATTAGTTTGGCAAATATCATTATACTTACTGCATAATGAGGAAATAGAGGCATGTAAGATTCAGTAAGATTCAAGAGTAACCTGATAATTAGTGACGTGGTTAAAATTAAACTTAGCAACCAATTTTCCTATCCTCCAGCTCAGTGTATTTCCCATCAACCCATTGTTACCCAAGCTTCAAACATCTGCAATGTCAAATCTCATAATCTTTTGCTAGCCATGTACTATTATTTATTTAAAAGTTTTGTCTAAATGAACATACCTCGGGGGCTTAAATATATTCATTTAAAAAGATGACTTCATTTTGCTTCATAGTAAAAAGCTAGTATCACTTGTCATCAATAGAAGGTCACTTTAAGAACAGTAACTACATTCATGTTTTAAGTTATAGTTTAGAAACTATTTACAGAAGGCTTTGGCGCTCATGGTTGAATCTTTGTTGCTAAGGGGATTCATGATTAAGGTAAGTGTCAGAAGCACACCAGCAGCAGACTGCGATTTTTTTACATGGTAGAATCAGAATTGAGAAAGAAACAACTTATGATGTGTTCTGAGTCCCACACATCTAAATCCACTCAAGTTCCATAAGAAACACAGGTCACACCACTTAGGATCTCTTCATCAACACAGAGCTTACCAATAGGTGATGGGCCTTGGCATCTGGGAGTCCCAGGAATGCACTGGAATTTGCCCAATACCCAGTACCCCTCTACCCTTGATCAGTCTAAATAACCACAGCAACCGACTCCACAGTCCCAGGGTACTGTACAGAACTTGTACTTTTCTCTGGGCATCAGCATACCAGTTTATCCCAATTCAAACTCATTTCCAGGTTCCCTAAGTATTGAATGCATTGCAGCTGCTCAAAATGAGGCACCATAAACATGCAGAGCTTAGTACATAAGGGATTGCCCGGTAAACTATTCTCTGAATCCAAATTCAAGCAACAAGGCCAACTCCTTAATTTGTATTCACAGAGACAATATAGCATTGAATGGTGGTGTTCCTTAATTTGTATTCACAGAAAGAATATGAATGGCATTGGGCAGTGTTATTTATTAAGTAATTCAGTCCTTTGAAATGCAGTATTAGTCTTGAATATATTTGTTGGGAATGGAATTTAAGATCTGCATAGAATGAACTTTAAAATAGTATGTATGGTCATATTTTTACTTTCAATTTTATTTACATATTAGGCTTATGTAAATGGATAGTTATTTTTAAAAGGTTCATTGGCACTAGGAACCAGAGAGCACTTTTCCTTTAATGTTCCAGAAAGACTTCTCAAGGGATATCCGAAATCTAAAAGAAGGTTTCAATAATTTTTTAACTTAAATTTTTATGGACACTTAGCTCCAGAATGAACCTATAAGGCATCGGGTTCAATCTTATCACTTAACAGATAGGGGTGAGAGGCGAAAATGAAGTTAGAGAAGTGGTTATGACTTGCCCAAGGCCACTCAGCTAATTAGTAACAGGTTCTAGTAAATAGTACCCAGGTCCAAAGTCATTACCAGGTCCAAAGTTATTACCAGTTTATAACATTGACTTTACTTGTAAACTCCAATGCTTAGTAAACAGCAGATTGGGGTTCAAAGGAATATTAGTACAGAGAAAAAGAAAAATATCTGAATTCCTTGCTTTGTTCACTTTAGGTTATTTACAGTAAGCTTGAGTTACAGAGTTAAGGCTACAAAACGAGTTCTCAGCCACAGCTAGCATTCTACACATAGTCACTGATTGAATACTCTACAGTGTATGCTAGATTGTGTAAGTGTACAACTAAAATTTCATACATCAATTACATTTCATTGGGCATGTCACGATAAGTAACTTCCCTATTTTGGTCAGTTTCTACATCTATCTATACAGGTATTTCTTGATCGATTGTTTAGTTCTGTCAAAAGCTCATGAAAAAGTTAGAGAAGTATCCTCTCCATTGTTGATGGGAGCAGAGATCTGTCATTTTATGCAAATATATGTAAGCAATTTAATTTTTTTTCTGAAATGACTTCCTTTCCCTCGGGTTTTTAGTGTATGTAAACTGGCAAAATGGTATTTACTGGCACTCATTTTCTTTGTAGCAGTTTAAGACAACTTCAGAATATGTTAAGGTGACTAGGCAAGTGAATGCTTATGGAGAAAAAAAAACATTGTTCTATCTAGATCAAAGGTTATGGCTGTGTTATGGTTATTATATATATAAAATTCTGAAAATGGCTGCTAGTAGAACACAATTTTAAAACTTAACAATCTGGAGCTGGGCGCAGTGGCTC